AGTTTCATAATGGGAATGGAGGCAAAGCCATACAGTTATGTTTATCATATTTATATCAACATATTCAGTCTGCAACACAGCCAGATTCAGTTGCTGGGGGCCTGAGGCATTGGCACAACAATAGGTTGTGCCACTTGGCCCCCACCAGACTGGGGCATGACTATAACAATAGGCTGTTGGGCTTGCACTTGAGCTTGGAGCTGATTTTGAGTGATCTGCTGTGGCATTAGTATTACAACTTGCTGTTGTCCCTGCCCCTGCCCCTGTCCATCTGTGTAACCTTGCTGTGGAATCTGAACTGTCACTGTCTGTGGACTGGCACTGGCCCCTGTAACCACACCTTGACTCGCCGGGGTCTGGGCTTGGGTAGCCTGGATTTGCTGAGTTTCAGCTCCTGTAGGTCCTGATGGGACTGGGGGGACTTGGACTACCACTGGTTTTGATGGTGCCTCAAACTTTATTCTCTGATTTTGTGGCAGTTGTGAGAGGCTCTCCTTGCTTATGGGTTGCACAGAGTGGTTGACGCGCATGTGCTCATAAACTCCTGACTTCCTGATACAGATTGCACCACAAATGCAACAGTGATAATGTGAATTAAAGACTTTGGTTCCACTTGGACGAGAACAACCAAGCTTACATCTTAGCATTTGATAACCTACAACAGGTACATGGAAAAATGGTAATTCACTGATTAGCCTTGTGATGTGGGTATGTGCAGCATCATTATTTTTCAGACTGCGTAATTTAGTCAACATAGTTGTTAACATTTTGTGAAGACCAAGCTCACAAAGAAGTCTGCCTTGCATTCAAAAGAATAAGAACAATGTTCAAAATACGAATCGAACCAGATGATCAAGTAATCAGGAAGAAAACAGCCCCGGGTTCTTTTTGAACTCCAATACATGGTGTNGGGGGGGGGGGGGGGGCTTGGAAAAAACCCCTTCAGTGGGGAGGTAAAGATATTTTCGGGAACTACAAAATGATCTGCAGGTATCACTTGTTTCAAATTCCTGTTGCATTTACTCAGCTGTATTTGGTGTGGGTTTTGATTTCAAATTTCATTATCCCAAGTGGGACCTTTGCTGTTTGAGGAGGGGGCTCTTAGAGTAAAGTGGGGAAGAACAGGGCTCTAAAAAAAGTGGGGAAGGACAGGGCTCGAAAAAAGTGTCGTCTGGTTTTCCTGGACAAGTAGATTTTCCTGGGGGCGAGAAACTTTTCACTGTGACTTGCCCAGTGGGCAAGGGCTCAAGCAAGTTGTCTGCCAACAAAAATAAAAAAAGAGCAAACTCAGACTTACTCAGGACAAGCAAGATTTGAGAGCTGCTTGTCCAAAGGGCAAGCTGGAATTCATGGGTTTTTTTCAAGTCCTGGAAGGAGGGTGCATATTTATGGAAATACTGTGAAATGTTACCTGGGTGCCATCAGATAAAGCTACCACATTATCTTGGTCTGAGCCGTCCAGTGTGGCAATTTGTGACGTGTCTAGGGTAGTGTCATTATCATCATCATCATCCATTTCAGAATCCTCTAAAGGCCCTTCTTCTGCTTCATCTTTTGCATCCAGCATCTCGTCAATTTCACGCATGCTTCCAACTGAATGGGCTTGCAGATGGCAGTAAAGGTGAACCTTCCTCACAAGAACCCTTCCACATAGACAGCAGTGGTAGTGGGAGTTGTCGGTTATGCGGCCATTAGCTTTTGTGCACCTTAACTTACAGCGTAGCATTTGATAACCTAACAAAGGTAAAAGAGTATATCTACATGTAGTTGCAGTTTACATGAAATAGACAATCATATTTTGTAATTTGTGGGAAAAACCTTTAACTTGAATCCTTATCTGGAA